TGTGGAGTGACAGGGGAACCCACAGGCTTCAGCGAGTTGGTCTCTGAGGCTTCCTAAACCTCTGCCTCCTGGAACCCACTGGCCACCTCCTCACTTTCTCCCCAGCTACATGCCTGAAATACATACGAGACTTCCATGTTTAAACACTCGAAGGGCTGACAGACATTCTTAATGGTTTAGTTTTTAAAATTCTATATGAATCCAAGGTATGAATGTTGATTGGACTGCTGTGATGGACAGCAACTTTCAGACAGACTAGACCAGCACTGTGGCCAAGGACTGGGGACACAGCTGCTCAGGTGTGTGGAGCTTCTGCAGCTGCTGGAGGCAGATGAAGCAAGGCCCAGAGAGACCTTTCCTCAAATTCCTTCAGGGAAGGTTAGTCGGCCAGCAGCTCCAGGAGGCCCTAAGGTCAGACAGGTGGAGAAACACTAGGTTCCTCAGCCCAGCCTGCCTGCCCTGCCCCATACTTCTGAGACATACAGGTGTCTCAGCATATCAGAGCACCTGGAATGTCTGCAGTAAAGAAACCTCCTAGCCAAGCCCAGCTCAACCCAAGTTGCTTAGCAGTGGATCATTTCAATGTCATTCTATGGGTCACATTGCCCTGGAGCCTTATTTATACTTATCCTGGAGACACATTCCTTTGTGCTTTGGGGCCTAAAGCTATATGCGATGATTTTAGCACAAATTGCATAAAGAAAAAGTGGAGGAGGCCTTTTTAAAAAATATTTTTTAACATATTGTTTAGTTGTCAAAGGATGTTTATTTTATTTATTTATGTGGTGCTGAGAATCGGACTCAGGGCCTCACACATGCTAGGTAAGTGCTCTGCCAATGAGCCACAACCAAAACCCGAGGAGGCCTTTTTGGAGATGAGATTAAAACCAGATTTGCACCCGTCAGAAGACCTCTAGGTATTTCATGCTCGAAGGCATTCTGGTACCAGAGGGTGAACATCACCAGGGATATTACTGAGGAAGGCTGTGCTGGACCACAGCTCTGATACCCAGAGTCCTCGCTGTATCGAGCTGGGAATAGGGCCACTTACCTCCCACACAGGGAGACAGGCCATGCCAGACTCTAATGGGAGCAGTGTACTGATTGATGTTTGATCCTGGTTGCAATTTGTTCCAACTCTCTTTTCTCAATTGAACACTGCCTCTGAGCAAGGTAGTTTTCAGAGGAAAGGGGCAATGGCAGGAATCAGGAACATGGTGCGATAAAAAAGCCTCCGGGAGCTTCCCCGGCAGCTTACCATGTAGTTATCGCCCAGGATGAGATAAGCGGCAGCAATTTCCAGGAAGTAATATAAGGCTTTGTTGTTTTCTCCCAGAGCCACAAAATGCTGGGCCAGAGGCAGGATGACAATCTCCAGGACCTCCTCACACTGGCAGGACTCCAGGGAGATGATGTCTTCCTCGACTGTCCTCAGCCTGGTTATAATGAGGTCAAAGAACCCCAAGATCGTATCTTTTATTTCTTTGGGACTGTTTAAATGCAAAACTAAAAAGGAGATAAACAGGTAATACACAGAGCAGGCTTTTTTTTTTGATACCGGGGATTGCACCTGGGCCTTGCTGATGCTGGGTAAGTACTCCACCACTGAGCCACACGCCACCCCCACCTCCTTTTTAAAAAATATTTTTTAGTTGTAGATGTGACACACAATATCTTTATTTTATTTATTTTAATGTGGTGCTGAGGATCCGGCCCAGTGCCTCACGCATGCAAGGAGACCACTCTAACACTGAGCTACAACCCCAGCGCCTCAGCCCTTTTGATTTCGATTTGGAGTCAAGGTCTGGCTGGCCTCAAATTTGATATCTTCCTGCCTCAGCCTCTCAGTTCTCTGTAATTACAGCCATGCACCCACAACATCTAGCTTAGCATACTCTTTTTTTTTTTTCGGGGAGTGGGGGTAACTGGGGATTGAATCCAGGGGTGCTCAACCACTGAGCCCCATCCCCAGCCCTATTTTGTATTTTATTAGAGACAGGTCTCACTGAGTTGCTTAGTGGCTTGCTTTTGCTGAGGCTGGCTTTGATTCATAATCTTTCTATCTCAGACTCCCGAAACGCTGGAATGTCAGGCATGCACAACCTCTCCTGGCTAGTGTACTCCTTTGATATGAAAATATCTTTAAAAACTAACAAGAACAAGGCAGTTAAACCTACTATAGATACTACTGACCAAAATCATCACACATAGCCTGGACATTTTCCCATTGTATCTCAGAGGCCAAAAGGACTGACCAGATGAAAGAGTCTAATAGCAAATTTACTGGTAATGATTTATATTCTTATCTCCTAAATGGTTACATATACCTATACCTGAGATTTTCAGGAAGTAACTCAGATCTCTTAGGAACCTCTGATTTAGCTAAGTTGATCTCTTCTTTAGCTGGAAAATAAACAAAGGAGTTGTGGGGATAATTGTAATGCTCTCTGTAGCAGAGGGGTCTGGTGTCTAGATGAGACACAATATCTTTATTTTATTTATTTTTGTGTGGTGTTCAAAGACTCCGATTCCCTTCTGGCCACAAAGGGCTGCTGCCCAGCCAGGAGCCACATCCCCCAGCCCTGCTGCACCATGAGAAGCCTTGAGAATACTTCTTACACAGAAGATGTCACCTCTGGGCTGAGAGGGGTTATGTGTATGCTCTACTCTCTCTTTCCACAGGAAAGCAACCAACTCTGAGGACCTAAGGGACAGCAACCCAGGAGCGGTCTGAGTGCCAGACTAACTGCAGCCAGGCCACTTGTTAAGCTTTACCAGGGTATCACAGAAGCAGGACGTAAACCATCCCTCTGTTTCAGAAAGCCTCTGAGATGTCCAACTGGTCATAGTTGACAACGGTACCCTAACTCCTCTACTCTGCACTAATTGAAATAGCAATTTAACCATCCTGAACAAAGTGACTCAGTTTCAAGTGAGAAAATACAGATAAAATTTAAATGAAATGCCCCAAAATGCTGACTTAAGGATGGAGAATCTTGAAGTGAAAGCCTTTTGCTGAACCAATCAGCAGAGATGATCTTATAATAGAAAACAAATGAGGACTGTCTAATCCAGCTGACTCCATTCAGGGAGCAGAAAAACCCTAGAGCCAGGGAGGAACTGTCTCCTGTCCGGATTTGCTGGTGGCAGAGGCAGGGCTACAAAAGGGTCGGCTAGCTCCAAGGCCACGGCCTCCCTCCACAGACATCCCAATTTCTATAAATGCCTTGTGAACATCTCAGGAGTTGTCTTTTATTCCCTTCCACCACGGAGCAAGTGCCCCGCCCTGTACGTGCCATCAGGCCTCCTGCAGACCCCTCTCCTTCCCGACTTCTCCCACTTGTCCTCAGAAGTAGAGGCTGAATGCATTGGGCTTTCTCTCCCCTGGTCCTGGAAAGCTTCTCTTGGAGACCAGTAGAAGGAAAGAAATGGACCAGGGAGGGAGAAGGGAAGGAAAGGGGAGATACTGGGAGTGATACTGACCAGATTACATCATTATCTTGTCATCTGCATGAATATGTAACAATGAATCCCACTATTATGTATAATTATAGAGCACCAATAAAAATACAGAAGAAATAAAACATTTCTGTTCAAGGTTCCCAGTGACTCCTGCATTGCTGAATGAAAAGGCTGTGCATTTGCCCACATTTGATCACACCTTTCAGCGGCATTCAGGACAAGCTATTGCTCTCTCTTTTCACCAGTTTTGACAACACAGATTGCCTGGGTCCCCACCCTCCTTCACAGCCTGCTGAGCCATCATCTAAATGCTGCTAAGGCTCAGCTGGGCATGGGGCTTCCTTTCCCACCCTGATTTCCCCCTTGGCTATTTCATCTCCCCATGACTTTAAATCCCATCTATGTGCCAATGACTTTCAATTTCATATGCCTAATCCCTGACATCTACTCTAGCTGCATGCCTACACATCCAAAATCCTCCTTGGCCAGAGCCACTTGGATGCCTAACAGGCATTGCAAAGTTACCATGCTCACACACAGCTCTTGAATCTCTCCTCCACACACCTAGACCCACACACATCTTTCCTAATTTAGCATTGCTGGTTGCCATGGTTCATTGCCTCAAGGCAAGAACCCAGGCAGAGGCTAGATTCCCTGCTCTCCCCACCCTTCCTCATTTAGCCCAGCAGCTTGTCCAGTGGACCCCACCCAGGAACACACCTGAAACCTTCCTGTTTGCCCTCCTTCCCTTGGCACTGCCCTCCTGCATTGCCAAGACTTTCTCTGGACAGGAGCAGAGCCTGTCCTGTTCGGGCTGTTTCTATAGAGAAGATGGAGTGGGTCTTTAACAACCTGACCTGGATCTCTGGCAGAAGCTGCTGGTCCCCAGCTCCATCTCCTTCCCTCCATCCCTCCTTACTAACAAAACTCAATTTTATTCAGAATAGTTACATTTTCCAGCCTCCCTTGCAGCTGAATACAGTCATGAGTTCAAACTCTGTGATGGGTTATAGAGGAAATATTGGGTAGGACTTCTAGAGAATTCCTCAAAGGGGATGGATCCCTTTCTTCTTCCCCTTCTCCTCCTCCTCCTTCCTTCTTTCTCCTGGCACTAAATGGGAACATAATGGCTGCAGTTCCAGCAGCTATTTTGGTTCCTGATTTTCTAGTATCTTGTGAGAAGAACATTTTACATAAGAGCAAAACGAACTTAATAATAAGTTTAAGTCCCTCTAGCTGAACTCCTCTAATACACAGCCAGCAATGATTCTGAGCAATCCTCTCAAACTTGTCCCAACTCACTTAATCCCAAAAGGCCCCTGGATGGTTTTATTAATTCATCTTTTTATTGTCCTCTGGCCTCCACTGAAATTCAAACTTGTGAATGGACACGTGACCATGCCATCATTTTTACCATTACGGTCCCAATATGGACACCACTACCTGGCATGAATCAGAGCTCAATAAATATTTGATACATAAATAAATGTTTGTTGAAAAAAACTGATGAGTAAAAATGTAAAGCTATTCCTCCTGCTTCAATGTCCTATATTATTATATGTATTGTTTTTAAATGTTTTAAATTGTAATGGTAGGGGTTGAGGATGAGCTCAGTGGTAGCACTCTTGTCTAGCATGTGCAAGGCCCTCAGTTTAATGCTTTGCAAGGGGTGGGGATATATATACACACACACACACACACACACACACACACACACACACACATGCACACATAATGGTGTGAGAATTAGATGCAGAGAAAAGAATATTGGCTAGAGAAAACAGGATATGCGAGATATCCTCTCTGCCTTTATTACCTACTGAGTGGATCTTATTACTTATAGTTTTCTAATTTCTTCATTTATAAAGGTTATTATATTGAGCTTCCTACTCCAAGGACTATTTATAAAAATCAAAAGAAAAAAGATACTAAATGCTCATAGAAGAGAAGAAGAAAGCAAAGACACCACCTGCTCACCCCATAGATTCTAAGGCCTGGAATAAGACTTCAGGTTGAAGGGTCAGACTGTCTCCTCCTTGTACTTCCTGCTCCTCCAGGCCAAGACACTGTTTCTAGTGCTCAGAGTGAATGAAGGACCCTGAGCAGGCTAAGCACTCTGCCTCTGGGTCCTCCCCAGCCCGAGCCCCAGGACATCTACCCCATTAAATGAGAATAAAATGTTTTTTAAACGTGTACACTCTTCAGGTGGAGAACGGGAGGGGCCACATTCTTGACAGGGACCTTGTGCTGGCTGTCCCCTCTGCCGGGCACACTCTATCCTAGCCATCCACACGACAAAACCCCTGCTCTGTCTCTACATGAGTCTCCTGAGGGCTACCCTAATGACTTTCTCCTCCTAATCCCCTTGCCCATAGTTCTATTGCTGTCTGTGGGATTTGTTATTATTGTTATTTTTTAACATTTATTTTTTTTAGTTTTAGATTGACACAGTATGTTTATTTTACATTTATGTGGTGCTGAGGATCGAACCCAGTACCTCATGCATGCTAGGCAAGCACTCTACCTCTGAGTCACAACCCCAGCCCAAGATTTGTTATTTTATATATATATATACACACACACACATCATGGTTACTTCTTCACATCCACTTTTCCCAAAAGAATGCTGCTTTGCTCACTAATGTACCTGACACACAGTAGGGATGCAGTGGTATCTGTTGAGTAAATGAAATGTCCAACAAGGCCCTTGCATTCCTGGAAGCTGAAGGGGGTGGCAGACTCTGCTGAACCAGGGGAGGGATGAAGGAGGAGCTGTGGACACTTGAAATGGATTGAGTCACAGAAAACACCATTTTTAAGGATATGAGGCTCAAAGGAGACTTGGAGAAAGAGCCACTCCTCACTCTGACTCACATCAGCCTCCTACGTCTCTCCCAGGTAAGGCCTTGGCCAGCAGGTCCAGTGGACCGACTCCACATGTGGGAAGGTCAGGGACTGTGGTACTCCCCAGGCCAAAGCAGGATGTCCTTGAGGAAGGCACTGCCTCAGAGATTTTCCTAGAAACTCTAGGACAAATACACATTTGCTAAGAAATCTCTACAGTCGACATGGAAGCACTCACTAATTCATCTGGGATGCTAGTGATGAGACACTAGGAGGGGCAGCCGGGGCTGTGGTACACACCTGTGTCCCAGCTGATGGGGAGGCATGAGGAGCACTAGGGCCCAGAAGCTCACGGCCAGCCTGGGCCACACAGCCAGACCCCGCCCCCCCCACACACACACAGGAAAGGGAAAGAAATGGTGGGAAGTTGTATAAAAGTTAAATCTTCATCTACCATGGTGGCGAGGAGGTGGGGCGGGGGACAGATAAATTTCACAATTTGACTTTTTGAAAAGCAGTACGAGGCACCAATATGTAGAAAATAAAAGACCCTGAGAAGAACCACTGAAAGTACAGAGGACGGTCATGGACTACTGCATCTGCGATCAGACTTGCAGGGAATCTCACACAGGCTCTATGTGAAGTCTGTGTAGGTGACAGACTTTTGTACAGACAGCAGGTCCTGACCATAGTGGTAAGGCCCTGGTCTCACTCCAGTGGGGGGTGCTGATGAAAGATCACCAGAGCACTTCCCAGAGTGGCCTCATGTGACACAGGCTAGCTGGCCAAGGTCTATTGCAGGATCCAAAAATAACTGGAACCCTCTTCTTTGAGCCAACCTGTTGGAGGCCAGCTGTTCAGAACCTATCTGCTAGTTGCCAGCTTATCTTATTCCCCCAAATAAAACGGCACTCTACTAAGGACCTTGGGAGGGGTCACTGGGTTCACGCCCTCTCCCCCATCTCCCCAGGGGCTGCCTGAGGTCCTCCTTCCTTCAGGCAATGCTTCCTCCTCCTTCTCCACTGCCTGCCCCCTTCCCCAGACCTCTGTGGGGGTCTTCTCACATGTCCAAGACTCCCCAGACTGCCTTCTTCTCCAAGCCAGGTTATGTCTGACCTTTGGGAAACCCTACACATCTTTTCCACACTCTGGGAGAGCAGCTTGATCCCAGTGCAGCCCAGGTCCCTTGCTTTAGCCTTCCTGGGTGGGCAGGCAGCCCAAATTCTGTGCTAGGCAGTCGGTGGAGAGACAGCCAGCTGGAGGTGCAGAGGACCCCCACCTCTCCCCAGAGACGCTCTTCTTTATCCACAACAGACTCTGCTATTTCCTCGACAGTTTCTGCAGATCCACCTCTGACCCTAACTTGGATCTCAGCATTCATTGTGTCTTTGTATCTTGGTTCAAATGTCAACGTCAACATCACGTCACAATATAACCTTTATAACAATAATTAAAAAGGCATCGATGGCTTTGGAAAAATATAGCATCTGAGGAGAATTTTAACAAATGCTACTGAGAGACTCTGGACTCAGCCACAATCGAGTTCCCTTGATGTCCTCCTGCTGAAGTCTGCTCTGTGCCCCAGCCCCAGGGGCTCAGAACATTAATGATTCTCAGCATAAGATACAAATAAATGAATAAAATAAATGTCCACCAACAAAGAAAAATATATATAAAAGAATTCTTTTTTAAAAAGTGATGGACCTGACACTGCAGAGCCTCTTGCAATCTCTGGTAAAGCATGACCCTAAAAGCCCAACTCCTCACTGTAGGAAGCTGGGATAGGGGGAGCAATCAGATGAAGAGGAGACTAAATAACATCCCTCACTTTTTTCTGTGTTAAATTACTGAAGCTTCCAGAGCCTCAATTTTGTTGTCCATAAAGGGAAAATAATCCCCCACTTTGAAGTTTGATCCAGTGAGAATACATGCAAAATAGAAAGTGAATTGAAATGAATATTTATTTTGAACCTGCTGCAGTTCTTCTCAGGGTTTGATATCCTCATAATAAAGCACCCTCTCCGTATAGCCCTGCTTTCCCACTGGACCCAGCCATACGCACCGAGGCCCTCCCACCAGGGCCTGTGAGCTGGGCCTTTCTCAGCTGGCTTTGGTGCTGCTACCATGACCCTACTGGGTGTCATGCCTGTGGGAACTGAGTCCTTAGTCCCCCATGGCCCCTGAGCCCTCTGCTGTTTCCCAAGGTTTGTTGCTAGTGTGTGGCCTCTCTACCTTGCTTTGCTGTGGTCTGGAAACCCTGCCTTAAGACCAAGCACATTTCTCTGGAGCCCTGCCTGCTCCTCTCTGCCTGATTCTCTTCTGCTCCTATTCCTTTCCACTGGGAATTGTTTCACACTAGATCAACAAAGCCACAACTGCACTCTCGCTGCATCAAGTTGGACCAACCCAGCCACCTTGGATTCCAGCCATTGCTGTGAACTAATACAGGCATTTTAGTTTAGCCTCTGGTGAGGCCAGAACCCAGATACCCAAACCTAAGCCCTATCAATCTCACAGTGAGTCGGGTTCTGGTAGACAGAACTGTGTGGACAGTCCCCACCTTCTCCTTCCCCACAGGCTGCTGAGGTCTCAGCCTCCCTGTGCCCAAGCCAAGTCCCTGGGGTCCAGATCCACTGCTTCTAGATCTTAGTCTCCAGAGTTCCCAGGAATAGCTGGGGTTCATTAGGAATGAAGGAGGTTTATCTTGGATTCCCCGAGGCTTAGTCATCTTCTTAATGGTGTTCATGCCCAAGGTGTTGAGGAGGATGTCCACCATGAAGTGGTGATACAGGTTGAAGTCCCAACTTCTGCAGTGGTCACACCTGTGGGCATTCTCCTCTAAAAAGCCGGCACACTTCAAATGCATGGCCTTCTTCTGGTCCTTGAGCCAGAGCTCATAAGCTGTCTTCTGCATTATAGGCCGGGAGAGCCGAATGATGTGGCACTCAATCACCTCACCCTCCAGTTCTTGGAGCTCCTCCTCCTCTCTGTGAGCTGGAGGGAACAGGAAGGGCATGCCAGCCAGGCAGTAGGCAAGAGATAAAACCGCTACCCAGCACAGATCAGCCTGTGAATCTATGCACCTTTGGCCAAGGGGAAATATGGTTAACTTCAGGTGCGACTCACCCATCTCCTCGCTGGCTCTCAGAGACGAGGACCAATGGTGAACCTCAAATGAGGTGGCATTTTGCTTCAGGGCCAGTCGAAGGTCCTTGCCATTCGGGAAGAAGTAAAAAATGTTCAGCTCCACGAGGGTGGCCAGGGTCTTGATCATCATCTTCATGTTCCAGCAAGGGAGAACCTCAAACAGCAGCTCCGTGGTGAAGGTCAGGCCAATGATGGCAGTGCACCTCACCAACATCTGGTGGGAGAGGCTTATGCTGTCCAGCTGGACCAGAGAGATTTCTGCAGGTGGAAAGCCACACACAGAAGGACACTAGTTACCCATCTGACTACCCACATCCTGGACAGGCCCTGTCCTGCTCTACAGCTCCTCTTGCAGACACCCAGCTAAGCTAAGTCTGGTTCACAGCTTGCTCCTGTGCAGGAAAACACACTACAGGGCTGGGCTGGAGCTCAGCAGCTGAGGGCTCGCCTCACATATGTAGGGCCCTGGGTTTCATCCTCAGCACCAAGTGAAAATAAATAAATGAAATAAAGGCATTTGTCCACCTACAACTAAAACAAATTTAAAAGAGAAAATGCAGCTGCAGCTCTAAAGACACACAGGAGCAGAGTGAAGCTGCCTCCAGGGCTCTGACTTTGGGTCAAAGTGAGACAGGGATGTGTACAGACAGCAGGGGTCACGCAGGCCATGGCTGGCACCCACCATTCCTGCTCCTTGTGAACTTCTCCAGCTCGTCCTCTTTTTTCCCCACTGGCTCTTTTCGTTCCTGGAACCTCCCAGCAACAGGCCTTCTCTCTGTCTGTCCCCAAGATCCATTCACATGCATTTATTCCCTCCTCCATATCAGGAACAAGCGTCAGAGTTCAAAGTGCCGGTGATCCCTGCTTTTCATGGAATCTCGTGGCTTACGTGGCTCCCTGGACGCTCCCTGGACGCTACACTGGGATGTCCTTGGGTTAGAGATGAAAGGTCAACTCCTCAACTGTTCCCAAAACACACTAGAAGCCGAGCCAGTCCTCCTTCCCACAGCAGGAGATACAGTAGTGAAGGACACACAAATGACACCAACTGAAGACAGAATTCCAAGGTCTGAAGTCACTCTAGATGGCATGTGTTGGGGCTGAGTGCAAACTAGAACATTTCTTGAAAGCCATTATTTTCCAAGCATAATTAATAATACCCTTGTGACATCCAGTGCCTTGTATTTCTTTCTCACAAGAGTAGACGGCAGAAGTGTCTCAATGCTAGACTTTTCCCTCTCATATTTGGTTTCTGTTTAACTGAAAATGTGCTGTACCTCATTCTCTTGTGCAGTTAAACAAACCTGTCCAAATCAGACTCGCAACACATCACGGGAGGGAGGCTCCTAATCGGAAGTAGAAGAACCAGCCTGCCAGGGCAACACAGGACAGACAGGCCAGGGCAATGCAGGACAGACAGACCAAGAGCCCTGGCCCCTCCCTCCTGGGGCAGGGGGGATCCCAGGGGAAGTGGAGGTGGAACCCAGAGAGAGCTGGCACCAGGTGGAATGCCCCTTACCTTTCAGTGATGCAGGGGGCGACAGGTTTTTCATTCTGACACCACTGACCAGGTTACAGACTTCTTCACTTCCCTCCTCATTTCTAAGAGAAAACCCTTTTAATTCCTCCATAGGCTTAACAAAATTTTCTGTGGGGAGATCAGAAGGGAAGGAAGCCAAGAGTTAATATCCTGTCTTTCATGTCTGGCTTTCCCATAAGCTCTTAGGTAGATCTTGTGTGAGAAAGAGTAGGAAGAGAGGAGCACTGCCTCACCAGATATTCTGGGATACCTTGTTTTAAAAACACTGATTTATGAAAATTGAAATTTAATCAAAATGGTTTTGTTCTCCCCCGACAACTCCCACCCCAGAACAATAAATGGCACCGATATTGGTGTCTTCCCTAGTATGCACAGTTTGGTAAGAATAGAGTTCACAGAGGACTTAGGATCCCTCCCAGCACACACAGTAACCTACATTAGTATGCACACTTGCATTCCCATGCTCAGGCACAGGCACACCCTAGGGAGACCCAGCTCTGATTGGGGCATGACTGCAGCCAGAGATTTAAAACAGTGAGGTCTGGAAAGTGACCTTGCCAAATAACTGGGTCTCTGGGTACCCCAACATGCATCGCCTGCTCCTCCCTGTGGTTCTCCCACACTTGGCAGATTGAAGACACTGTGGTGGGGAGGGGAAGACATCAGTGCAAGGCCAAGGCTGCATCTCCTGCAGAGGTGAGTCCTACGCCAACAGCAAGACAACCAGGTCGTGAAAGAGGGCCCCGTGACTCTTCAGTGTGCATGTGGATTTTAAATGCATTGTCTCCTGCAAGGGATAAAACATGAACGCTGCATGTGCGCAGCCCTTGAGGTGATTAAGAGCTACGGGACACATAGGCAAGTGGTAACACCAGGAAGAGTGACTAAGAACTGAAGAGCAAAGACTAAGCCAGATACTGTGGAGCACACTTGTATTCCCAACAACCTGAGAGGCTGAGGCAGGAGGATCACAAACTTGAGGCCAGCCTCGGCAATTTAGCTAGACTCTCAGCAACTGAATGAGACCCTGTTTCAAAATAGAAGAATAAAAAAAGGCTGAGGATGTGGCTCAGTGGTAAAGTATCCCTGGGTTCAATCCCCAGTGCCCTCCCCTCCACCAAAAAAGGCAAAAAAAAGCAAGCAGAAGAGTGATGGTGGATAGGAGTAGGTAAGTGGGGGTAGAGTCACCAGAAAGCAAATGCTGAGCCCAGTGCCATTAACTTAGCTGGGAAACGGGGTGAAGAAAGTGCATTAACTTTACATGTATTACACCAGGGGGTCCCTGGGAGAGCCAATGCACACATGGCAATATATAGCACCTGGGATTAAGACTGAGATTAGGGCTGGAGATCACACACGCGCACACACACACACACACACACACACTCACACACGCACACACAAATACACATCAAATCCAGCAAAATATGAATAAATGGAAACATCAGGGGGGAGAAAGCAGAGAGTGAGGGTGAGGCCCCGGACCCCCACAGGAGGGTTTGCCCAGGAGAGGGAAGGGGCACAGGAGGAGAGTGTGATGGGGAAGCCCAGGGAGGGGAGCACCTGAGAAGAGGCCAGCACGTCGGTGTGGGAGGCGAAAGGGACAGCAGGCGTGCTGCCCTGGGCTGCTCATACTCTCCCCGGGGACCCACTGCTAAAGCAGCCGCGCTCTGCATTGCTCCATCCACGATTACCCAGGAAGCATCCAGGCACAAGGCACCCTTCCAGGATTGGAGACTCTGGAGTTTACAAAACTCCTGCCTCACGTGGGGACAGACAGGCCATAGCTAACAAGTTAACCGGAGGCTTCATGGTGTGACTCAGTCGTGTAAACGCGAGGAGAGAACGAACACTGGGCGCCTTATACTCAGGGCCACGTGCTCCACGCTGGGTTCCTGCACAGAGAGGTGTTTCGGGAAGGTGTGAACACATGCTGCACAGCCCACGCCCTCTGCTCCCAGACACCTCACTCCGTATTTCCTGAGAACAGCGACACCTTTACAGAACTCAGTACACTTACAACCTTTGGAAAAGGTGACATGGACCGGCTCCTGCAATTGTCCACCTGCCAGTTTGACAACTACCCCACAGTGTCTTTTAACATCTCTTTTTCTTCCAAAAAGAGACCCAGTCTCAGATCATGTATTAATTTCAGATTTTTAACTGAAGTGAAATTCATGGAACCTACAACTAACCATCTTCAAAGGGTACAGTTCAGGGCACTTGGCGCAATCACGATGTGCTGGTGCCCGCCATTCCTGCTCCTTGTGGACTTCTCCAGCTCATCCCCTTTTCTCCCCACTGGCTCTTCTCGTTCCTGGAACCTCCCAGCAACAGGCCTTCTCTCTGTCTGTCCCTGAGATCCATTCGCATGCATTTATTCCCTTCTCCGTATCAGGAGCAAGCATCAGAGTTCAGAGTGCCAGTGATCCCTGCTTCTCATGGAATCTCATGGTTTACGTGGCTCCCTGGATGCTCCACTGGGATGTCCTTGGGTTAGAGATGAAAGGTCAACTCCTCAACTGTTCCAAAAACACAAGCTCCCTAGTCTCACAGAAGACGCTGAGAAGTTACAAAGGGGGGAAACACTTGACTCATTTAATCTTTTAAACTTTTATTAGTGCATGTTAATCATACAGGAAGCCGGGATTCACCGCGGTGTGTCCGTGCGTGCCCATCTCATACTTTGATCATTCTCGTCCTCTCTCCCCGTCCCCTCCTCTTCTCTATAATGTCTCCCTCTTACTCTCTTGCTGCTCCCCTTCCTCTACTCCACACAGAGGGAGCACAGGACACAGGTTCTTCTATCTGGTAAGTCGCACTGACTTACTCAGAGATTGCTGCTCTCCAGTCCTATCCATTTTCCTGCAAATGATGATTGTCCTCTATAATACTCCAGTGTATGTATCTGCCACATTCTCTCCATCGGTGACAGACACCTAGTCTGATTCCACGACTTGGCTACGGTGATTTGTGCCATGATAAACATGGGTGCAGGTGTCTTTGGAGTATGCTGACCTCAATCCCTTTGGGTAATGACCTAGGATCATATGGTAGTCCTAATTTTAGATTTTTGAGAAATGCTTATTCTGATTTCCATAGTGGCGGTACCAGTTTACACTTCCACCAGCAGTGTGTAAGAGCTCCTGTGTTCCTCTATATCTTTAACAGCATTTATTGTTATGTGCCACTAAATTCAGCCCCAGAGGAGGAATCTGACCCTGCAGACTGAGTGGTAACGGAGCGGTTCAAGCCGTCAAATCACCATCGCTCAGTGAAAATCACAAAAATGAAAGATCCCCTTCCAGGGAGACAGAGAAGCAAGCTCTCTCCCTTTTGTCCTGCCACATAAAACTCAAACACAAGAAGACACCCAGGAAGAGGGGGAGCAGACCAGCTGGGGACCTTGGGACCCAGGGAACATCCTGGCAGAGAGCTCCTGGGTTTCTTCTGCCTCACACCTACCAGACTGGGAGCTGCAGAATCCGGCAGCTCAGAAACACCTCTCATAAAAGCCTCAAAGTGAGAGGAACTTCAGTCTACACTCCAAACTGTATACTCATCCTGCTCTCTGGCCCCTCCTCCTCTGGGCAACGAGATTGCTTTCTTGAGTTTCCAGCTGGCCTTGGTCATGCCATCCCTTGCTGCAGGCCTCAGCACGCTCTGCAGCGTGGGGCCCTGTGTGCAGACTCCCTGTGCTAGCACTTCACCTCCTGGCACCACCTGAGCTCTTCAGGTCTGACCCTGGCGGCTTTCCTGGCTGTCACAGGTGTGTACTAGCCTCGTTCAGGGAGTCTGACCTCTTTGTCCTCTTACAGTTTAGGTGTCAGATCCAAGATTTTCTCCCCCCTCAAGCCCTCTGGCCCTGCAGGAAGCAGCCTATGGAAGGCCCATTCTCAACACTTTTTCCACGTAAGGACAGTGACAGAAGTGCCCAGCGTTGTGGTGCACTTCTGTCATGCCAGCAACTCAGGAGCCCGAGGAAGGAGATGGTGAGCTGAGGCAGCCTAGGCAACTTAGTGAGACCCTGCCTCAAAACAAAAAGCAAAGGGGGCTGGAGATGTAGCTCAGTGGCCGAGCACCCCGGGCTCAAACCCGAGTACTGAAACAAGAGAAAGAGAGTCCTCGAGAGACTTACTGAACAGGTTGTTCCAGGTCACCTCAGTCTTCTCCTTAGGCTCCATTTGCTGGAAAACGTGCACCTTGTGGTGGTCCAGGTTCTTCAGCAGTTCCTTGCAGTAGTAGGGGATCCTGCAGCTGCCCTCCACCAGGTACCTGTTGTCAAGACAAGGCGGCGGCTCACAGTGCAGAGCACCTGCGGTCACTCAAGATGACTCCCTTCCCATTTTCCATGTGCTCCAGTTTGCTCTTGAGTTTCAGGGGTTGCTTTCATCTTATTCTCTTTCTTTCTCTTTTTAAATTACATAAAACATTTTTATCTTCCCAAAGTTAAAACTAAATAAAAGGTACATCCTCAGTCTTGCTTCTCTTCCTTAGATACAGGTAACAATTGGATGTATTTTTGGTTTATCCTTCCAATACTTTTTCTAAAATATATGAACAAAAGTGTGCATGGGTGTATACACACAGGTCTCCCTAACTTCTGTTTACTGCCCTACAGTCCTCCGGGATTCATGCATCCTAGTGTATTAACTTAGCTCCCCTTGGAGATGGACATTGGATAGCTTCCAGTCTCATATTAATAGAGTTTGATAGAAACTTTGTACATATGTTACTTCATATTTGTGTCAACACATCTTTGAGATAGTCTCCTAAAACTGGGATTGCTGGATCAAAAGGAAAATGCAGATATGTATAGAGAGAGAGCGGGGAAGGGGAGAGAGAGTCCAATGCCTTACTGGAGTTATTCTATTTTGAGCACTAGGGGCTGAACCTTAGGGTGCTCTATCACCTGAGCTGCATCCCCAGCCCTTTTCTTTTTGTTTCAGGATAGGGTTGGAGTTATTTTAAATGACCCCTTGTCCAAGCCATCTTCCTTCCAGGAGCAAGGCAACATCATTAGAAAGAACAAAAGCAGAGAACAGGAGGGTTGTCAGCAGCCAGCCCAGGAGAGACGCTGTCATTGTCTGGGTGGGACA